CTTTTAACGTTTACCACATTATAAAGCACAGTTCATTTGACATTTTAACGCGAGAGATGATGTTTGAACTTTTTTAAAGTTTGATAATGTATCACTTTTAGTCTTCAATTCTAGTGATATAACTATATGCCGAACTTTATCCATCTAAATCAGAAGTTCCCAAACTGTAGTACGCGTATCCCTGGGGGAACGTGGGAGACTAATTAGAGGTAAGCGTATCACTGGGGATACGAGGGAGACTAATTAGAGGTACGCGTATCCCTGGGGTACGCGGGAAACTAATTAGAGGTACACGTATCCCTGGTAGTACGCTGAAGACTAACTAGAGGTACGCGTATCCCTTGGGTACGCGGGAGACTAATTAGAGGTACGCGTATCCCTGGTAGTACGCTGGAGACTAATTAGAGGTACGCGTATCCCTTGGGTACGCGGGAGACTAATTAGAGGTACGCGTATCCCTGGTAGTACGCTGGAGACTAATTAGAGGTACGCGAAAGTGATCTTGGTAATGGCGGAAAACAAGAATTTCGTTTTCTTAAGTTCGTATGAGAAACGAAGTGAAAACTGTATGAATCCGAAATAAGAAAAAGGAAGAAGCAGATTAATCTCTAGTAATTTCTTAACTCTCCTTCTAAGTTAATACGAAATTATGCCAGTGCTGTTTTCATTTCTTTTGAACGTTGAACTAATACTATTTAAAAAAAATGGAATAAAATATTAAGTCAGAAAACAATCCTACACATTTTATTAAGTTGACCAGAGTCGTTTGACTCTTAAGCTAACCTAAGCCTTTGACATTATTAATAAAAACTTTTATGTGCTGAAGGATGGAGGATATAACAGTAGGAGGTGCTCAAAAATATAAAGACTAATCACAGGATATGCGAGTGCAATAGGGTTGAGAACAGCTGATCTAAGTCATTGCATTTCCGCACACACACACGGATGGACAGAAACGTATATCCATTGGGTAAATTTCGTTCAAATTTTGATACAGATCTATAATTTTGATGTAAATACCACATACCAAATTTCACCTGACTAGCTCCTTCCGTTTATGTGTTATCGCCTTCAGATATACGTAGACGGACAGACATATTCCCAAAAGTATTCTTTCGGACTAATTAAAAGGAGGAGATTCATCAAAATCACAATATCAAACTTTTTTTGAATAGTGTGAAAAATGAAAAAGGGATTGATGCATATACGTTAAGCCCTTGCGGGAAAATGAAGAGTATAGCTCGTCATTGGTTTTCCATGCCATACCGTGCAATGACGAGCTACACTTGTTACTGAAGTTACTTTTGAATATGGTGCATAAAGATAATCAAATAAAATTAAATTAGGAATCAAAACCAATTTAAAATAAATTTAAACATACACTACAAAATTTAAACGATGTTCTTTTTTTTAAAAAAAATTGTTGGTTATTTGTATTGTTCGTCTTTGATTGGAAAATTTTGGGCTATGAGACTCTTTATTAGATGAAAGTCAAGCTTCTTGCAGAAAAATTTCCCAAATAAATGGAATCCATATCGCATATAGTCTATAGCCCTTGAAAAAGTGGACTAGAATGTTCTAGAAACTAGAGTGTTGTTTGATTCCTTGTTTGTTTAATTCTATTCTCTCGGAGTATGTTTCTTGGTTTTTTACTTTCTTTGAATAATTGTTGAATATGGTGATGTTCTATTTGGTTAAAAATTTATAGTGTATTGAATTTGGCAAAAGAGGATACAATATTATTCTCTTTTGTTATTTGTGTAAATACCACAAATCATTATCCCATATTGTTTGTCGTCAGAACTACTATGTTCAAGTGACAAAAAAAAATTTGTTATTCAGTAGGATTTCATTCTTGTAAACCTTAAGTGGAAACATTGGTCATATCATGCACATTTTTTTATGATCAAATCAAACCGGTAGGGGCTAATTTTAAACACAGAGAATTTTCGTCCTGCTGTGGCATCTGGTAAAACTGGCTGACCGGCCGGCGCGACAATTAGCAATCCATGTTGCCCCTGGGCTGGTGGCTGGAGTATTCATACCCTGTTGGTTCCGTCGTTACGCTAATGATCTCAGAGTTGTTATTTTTCTATTAATAATCAGTTTTTGATTAAAAGTTAAAATTTCAGAAGAAATAAATTTGTTAAAATTTTTTAACGTTTCTAGTTTTTTAAGATGATTGCTGGTTTAGATTGATTAATTAATTCGAAGGACACAGAATTCTTCATAATCTGGTCACGACTTAAAGTTAATCATTCATCAATAATCCACCAACAAGTAAAAAAAGTTCTTTGGAGATAGGAAATTCGCTTAAATTGAAAATAAACACTACGGGACGATTTGCTTGACGGAGTGCTTGGATTCTGCAATCCCCTACCTGCGAAACCTAACGATATTTAGTGCGATTTTCGCCTGAGATTTAATACGAACTAGTTAAGTAATTAATTTTATTCTTGTAAAAAAAAATTACAAAAATAATAATGGGGAGTAAAGAGAGAAGAGGATGGAAATAAACAGAAAGAAAAGATCAAAACCCTAAAGAAGGTAAGAAAGGTGGGAGGAACGGAAGTGAAACTGAAGTACTAATCTCCAACATTAACTTCCGTTCGATTAACCACAGTTAATGCTGACTCAAAACGTAACTGACCGCTTGCAACTAACTGAATATCTCTCGCTAATTAATTGCCAAAGAGTGTGGAAAAATTAAAATTCTCATTAATTAAATCCTCTACTCAGAAATCACACAAAATACCGCCAAAATGAGCGCTTTTGGAGAGGAAAAAAAGTCCGAATTGTCTTGCGCACACAAAGAGTGACATCATGCCTGTGACGATGTCTTCTACATCCGTTCCGTATATGGCAACGGATAACTCTTTTGTTTGTATATTTCATTGACATCTCTTCCTCGTCATTGCCACTTCCGAGGAAGAGGGGGAAACAGATCCCAACGGGCACTTCTCAGAGTTTCTTCTCTTAAATGAATTCCACACTTCCCTTTTACGGTATTTTTAGACCCGCAACGCAGTGCTGCTTGCCTGCCTGCCTACCGCACTTGCACTAGTTGGAGGAAACGTTGCGGTTCTTGAAACTGGTTTGTGAAAAGTGAACATTTTCGGGAGCAACTCCTTTATTCTTCGGCCAGAAAGATTTCTTTTATGAAGGAGCTCATTAAGCATGTGATTTATCCAGTCAAAATCTTGTCTGGAGAACAAGAGTGTAACCTCTGAAAATGACAGATAATCCTCCATTTGGCGAGTATTGGAGAAGTTCACCCACGAAACCAATGCTTCAAGGAGGCATATGACTGCTCTAGAACTTCACTTCTTCAGTAGAAACATACTCAGCGGCTGAAAATCGAACTTTGTTGCGTCACTAAAGAAGATCAGTATTCTTTAGATAGGTTTCTAATAGCTAGCAGGGCTTAGTGGCGTCCGGAGCAAAGTATTATCTTTTTGCCAATTCCTCATATTTATTTGACTTAAAAACGTTAAATGAAAGTATTAATATTTTATATCCGTGGTACCCTTCTACCCGGTATATCTATACTAAATGCTTCCTTCTTTGCACTGCCGAGGGCTTACGAGGGTTGAAAATTTAATAGTTTCAACTAAATAAGAAAACCTATATAATATTAGTACTAGCTTGAAACATTTTTGAAACCAAATCAAAATTACAGAGGCTTAAATTCGGGTAGAGCAACTCTCAGTCACAACGAGCAAAAAATTTAGTCACGGGTTGTTACCGAACTTTCCAAGAGATTCTTAAACCGATAGACCGCTCCAATGAAACCATCAGCAGAACTTGTCCTGCTTCAGGTATTCTACGACTTCCACGTCGCTGGAAAGGAGTTGCACATAACGCTGGCGACTACATTGAAGAGCTGCAAATACTTCAGGCAAATACTAATGCTGTATAGGCTCTAATTATATGGTTTCCACTATTAAATTTCCTACCCTGGTAATACGCATTATCTGAATTACATAAACTACAGGGTGGGCGTTTGTCACCCTACCATTTAAGAAATATAGCTTGGCTTTTTTCTAAGATGTCAAAATTTAAGTCTTGGAGATTCAGAATAAAGCAATTGATCTGAAAAGAAAATATATAAATTCTCCATCTCCATCTTGGAAACCAGAGAACCACTGTTTTAGCTCAAAACGCTTACTTAGTATGATTTTATTTCTAGTTGTCTGTGCTAGAATATTTGAAAGATGATATCTATGCCAATTAGCTGTTTAATATTCAAAAGCTCGGAGAGAACATCAAATGCTAAAATTCGGGCCATAGACAGCAACAGAATAAAGTGCGTGATGTAATATGCAATCAAGTGCTCCCGTTTTTAAGAAAAATAAAAGGTTACGTAAACTACATTGCCGAAAAACTCCTTAAAATATAGTTTTCTATGTAGAAAGTTCAAAATATTAAAAAAGTACAAAAATTACTCATTGTTCAAATAGTAGAACGGCCATCAGGTTATGACCATCTTATATTTCTGGTTCCTGTAAAGGCATT